ACAAATCCGGACATTTTTCTTGCAGTAAGTTTCTCACCAACCCTACCCCCTCCTTTTTTTTCCCTTCTTCCCCCTCCCCCACCCCACCAGCAATCAAACAAATCCCGACATTTTTCTTGCCATAAGTCCCCCTAACATGCACGTGCCGGCTTGTGTCCCACCCCCACCCCCCACTTCGCGCGACGAACCACGCGAGCAAAACGGTTCCTGCCCCCCTCATCACCCGCTGCCCGCCCCGCCCCACCTCGCGACGCCATCAACCAGCGTGCGACGTCGCCTCGCCTGCCGCCGCCGTGTTTTCCAACCTTACACAATTTTTCCCCATCATTTATTTTTCCAATCACCTTTCCAGGAAAGGTGTCTTAGCCAGCCTTATGTCTTCAAGCCAAGATGTAGAACAAGAATTTCTTCTATATTTCTCAGGTTCAGGAATTACAAGCCAGTGGACTATATCCTGACTTAGGTTGGAACGGATATTTTTTTACGACGCTAATATAATGAGAATGTTTTATTTGTGAAGTGATTTTTTTTTTCTCTGTGGATTTACATGCCGTGGTGAGGTCAATTTATTCTTTGATAATTAATTTAAAACTTTGCGTAGAAGTTTGATTAGGACTGTGTTGTAAATTGTGTACTGAGCCGAATGATGGTGGATTTAGACATGATCTATCACACGAAGTGTGTGAGGGGGTTTTAGACACATCTCCAAATCCCCGCCCCTTTCCCAACTCCATAGCGCACGATCACCCCCCCCCTCCCTCAACTGGAGGAAACAGTCTAAATACTAAATTTGAATATAAATACACACTTTTAGCTATTCTTGTAATCCACCCACCTGTGAGTTTCATTTTCTAACCCCCGGCCCTCCACATCCCACACAGCACAATAGTAAACGGGGCATTTTAATTTTTTTTTTTAATTCCGAGTACATAGGAAATGTAATTGTTACATAAGTTTACAATGCAGATTTGTCTGTATGTTTCAAGCGTCATACCAACTCTGCATGCACAAGATTAAAATATTTGTTAACATGGAATTAAACCTATAAAACAAGATGCTTTAAAATTATGTGTTTTAAATTATTTGGGTTTGATTTAGTCTGCCTATAGATCTAACATATTTAAGTTTAAACAGATGGTTGCGCTACAATGTTACCATACATCACATTGTTTTTGTTGCGTTGCTCGCGAATCATGTTTGTATTTTGTTTGTTTAAAATGTGTTTAAGATTTATAAACACAAAAGGAATATACTTATAAGGAAATAATAAGACAGCATGGTCAATGGGAATGTGATAGCATTAGCAACGACGTTTACCAGTCACTCACAAAAAAATCATACCGGGTTTTCTTTTTTTATTATTATTTAAAGAGACGTTCTAGCTTAATCTAATCCACTTAATCCAACCGAAGTAGAGTTTTCCTGGTGTCATTTTTAATCTCTCATAAATACACGACCGGGTTAAGGTATACGTAATATGTCTAGTTAGTGAAATCAAGAGGTGTAAAATCAAAACAATGGTCAAGATTAGGATAGAATCAATGAGGTGGTCAAGATTAGGATAGCATAGAATCAATGAGGTGGTCAAGATTAGGATAGCATAGAATCAATGAGGTGGTCAAGATTAGGATAGCATAGAATCAATGAGGTGGTCAAAATTAGGATAGCATAGAATCAATGTGGTGGTCAAAATTAGGATAGCATAGAATCAATGAGGTGGTCAAAATTAGGATAGCATAGAATCAGTGTGGTGGTCAAAATTAGGATAGCATAGAATCAATGTGGTGGTCAAAATTAGGATAGCATAGAATCAGTGTGGTGGTCAAAATTAGGATAGCATAGAATCAATGTGGTGGTCAAAATTAGGATAGCATAGAATCAATGTGGTGGTCAAGATTAAGGATAGCATAGATTCAATGAGGTGGTCAAGATTAAGGATAGCATAGATTCAATGAGGTGGTCAAGATTAAGGATAGCATAGATTCAATGAGGTGGTCAAGATTAAGGATAGCATAGATTCAATGAGGTGGTCAAGATTAAGGATAGCATAGATTCAATGAGGTGGTCAAGATTATGGATAGCATAGATTCAATGAGGTGGTCAAGATTATGGATAGCATAGATTCAATGAGGTGGTCAAGATTATGGATAGCATAGATTCAATGAGGTGGTCAAGATTAAGGATAGCATAGATTCAATGAGGTGGTCAAGATTAAGGATAGCATAGATTCAATGAGGTGGTCAAGATTAGGATAGCATAGAATCAATGAGGTGGTCAAAATTAGGATAGCATAGAATCAATGTGGTGGTCAAAATTAGGATAGCATAGAATCAATGAGGTGGTCAAAATTAGGATAGCATAGAATCAATGTGGTGGTCAAAATTAGGATAGCATAGAATCAATGTGGTGGTCAAAATTAGGATAGCATAGAATCAATGTGGTGGTCAAGATTAGGATAGCATAGAATCAATGAGGTGGTCAAGATTAAGGATAGCATAGAATCAATGAGATGGTCAAGATTAGGACATCATAAAATCAATGACTTGACAGTTACAATTATTAAGCTTTGTAGACCAGTGAACCAACGCAGAGTCAAACGAATGTAATGAATAGGCTACATTGTAACACTATCGTCACACCCAGGGAAGAATAGAATCAAAGAGGGGCGGGAGATAGGAGGCAGGTACAGCGCTAAGCTGTCACCAAGACGGCATATAATCAATGTGGGGGGGGGGTGAGACAGGTAAGCTACTTTGAAGCTTAAGACAGCTTATAATCAACGAGGCACATCATGCCCAGCGTTAAGCCGTTGTCAAACTGTCTCGATTATAAATCAAGGCGTTTATCCTTTTTAACACACATACACACAAAGATATACCAATACTACTGCAACAAATACCAACAATGACATGACTCTAATAAAGGGGACATATACAAAGGTGAGGTGTCGCTGGGGGGCGACAGCTGGTGGTAAATAAAGCACTCGATTTTACCTATAAATATACATCACGTGACATTAATTCTATTTATAGGGGTAATATTCGGGAGTGGTTGTCATTGTATAGCACTTAGGCTGATACATGTCGAATGTAATTAATGTCATAAGTATGACATCTATCATATATACTGACTGGGATTAGGATATAAAGGGAGGGGTGGGTGTGTGGATATGACGGTGTAACATGTCTTGTTTTGTACATGTCAGGTTTTGTTGGTCCATTTGTAAGGTATCGGTGTCTAGTGATCGAGGGTCTTGACATTATGACAGTCCTAATGGTGTATAGGGTGTTGATGTATAGTGATGTTATTTATGTGGTGTTGACCAAAAGTGATGTTGTGTATGGGGTGTTGATTTATAGTTGTGTTTTATAATAGGGTTTTGATGTAGTGATGTTGTATAGGGTGTTGATTTCAGTGATGTATTTTATGGTGTTGATTTACAGTGATGTTGTACAGGGTGTTGATTTACAATGATGCTGTATATGATATTGACCAACATTAATGCTGTATATGGTATTGACGAACATTGATGTTGTATATGGCATTGACCATATTGACCATACTGAAGCCGTATATGGCTGACGAGCATAAAACAATAGTCACCGCTTACACCCACAGTTAACGTGCATGCGCCCCCCCCCCCCACCATTCCTCCATACTAACAGCTGACGTGCATTAAGCAAAAGTGCTGCCCCTTTCCCCCCCCCCCTCCCATACACGTAATAACGGCTGACGCTTGCTTCTGTTCCAGGTGACGCCAGCTGTTAGGGTCACGTGATATGTTGACACATTCCACCGGTGGCACCAGGAACCAGATGTCAGGGCTGAGGGGCGAGGACACGTGACGTCATCCTGCCACACACCCCCACCCACACCACCACCACCCTCCACAGCTGGAGGCTACAGTCTGAGTCACGTGATATCAGGTTTCCATCGGATTTGTCAGACTAGGCCTAGGAATTATATAATTAAAAAAAAACAAAGGGGAAGATACACAGCAAGGTGACACGAAAAGGTGAAATGGTGATACCAACAAGATTTGTTTTGTGACAAAAAAAGGATAAAAAGGTGACAATAGTTCACACTAAAAAGTCGTGGTTGTAAAGTTTTATCAAGGTGACACATAGCTGTACAACCAAGTTGAGTAGGAGAGGTGACACACGGGAGCAGCAACCAGGAAGTTCAACCCCCCCCCCCCCCATCAACAGGTCTGTGTGTTCACCACAGTGGCGGTACTGGCAAGTCCCCGCCCACGTCGCTCACACGTGTGCTTGAACGTCTGCTTCAACACGTGTCGTGCGGGTTGGGGGATAAAAATATTCTTGCTCAAAATCATTCAAGCGTGACCTGTGTTTCTTTCACACATGGAACCCGGAGTCTGACCCACGACATGGTCGGAGCTTACGACTCATCCGCTTTCATGTGGGATTTGTTATAGTTAGTGTGTGAATCAGGTGCTATTTAGGATTACAAATGGATTATAATAAATAGAATAAATCTTTATTATTATGATTTTAGCAATAATTACACGATTGTAGTTGATGAACATTCTTATGGAATTCTATTGACACACTAAGTAATGTTGAGGTAGGATTGTGAAATTCCATTGATATACGAGGTAACGTTTGTAAAAAAATTCAATTAATATACGAATGCAAGTTTCTCTAGAACCGTGAAAAATTATTAATATACGAGTGGGTGTTATGTAGAATTCTACTAATACACGAGATGGTGCCTATGTAGAATTTTACTGATAAACGTAGTAATATCAGTGTAGTAGTGGGAAATTCTATTGAGATTATATTTCGAGGTGGTGAAATTTTATTGATATACGAAGAAGTGTATATGTAGAATTATAAACGAGGTAGTGTGTACTGATGTACGTGGTTATATCAGGGTAAAGCTGTGAAATTCTATTGATATACGAGAAGGTGTGTATGTAGAATTCTATTGATTCGAGGAGGTATATAGGTAAAATTCTACTGAGTGATATACGAGGTAGTGCTCATGTAGAATTATACTAATATACTAATCATACTGATATACGAGGTGATGTGTGTAGAATTGTACCGCTATACGTGCTAATGTCCGCGTAGCACCGTGTTCACCAAGATGGATCACGCCAATCACAACGCCCTGTTCAACCTGAGCCACGCCGGATACCGCCCGCCGGCCGTCCAGTCTCACAGCCTGGAGGCGTACACCGTCGTGCTGTCGGTGGCGGCGCACGTGCTCTCCATGCTGTTCGGCGGCGGCAGCAGTGTGGCCGTCATCCTCGCCATCACCACCCGGCGCAACATCAACAAGTACAGCTACACCCTGGTGCTGACCCTCTTCCTAGCCTGCTGCTGCCTCAACTTTATCTGGACACCTCTGGAGATCACCGACCTCATCATGTACCACTACGTGAGGACCCACCCTTGCAAAGGCTTCGTCGCCATCAAAACATCCCTCTACATCTTCCTCATCCTCGCTCTCAGCCTCATCATCGTGCTGTTATCGATCGAAGGCATCGTCCGGCTAAGAAACAAATTTGGCCGGCTTTTTAGAAAAATCTGGCCAATGCTCACATGCCTGTTTGCCATCGTGTGCTCGGCGGGTTTGACCGGGGCGTTTATCGCTATGTGCGCGCAACACGCGGAAGTCTTAGAGCTGACCTACGCCATCAACAATGACGACGCGCACGCCACCTACCTGGGGCTACTCATCCTCTCGGCGACGCTTGCTGCCATCATGCTCGCGGCCACCGCCTTCCTCCTCATCAAAGAAACCCTGTACTGGGAGGACGGGCGGCCGCACTTCCGGAAGAAGAAAATGAAGCTCAACATTCCAGAGTTCCTGATCAGCCAGTCCAACGCATGCGCAGACAACGACGGCGGGTTCGAGCACAGCCAGAGCGGGACGCCGTCACCGTCCACCCCCAAGCTGCTGACCGTCGGCGACCCGGACACGGCGTCCATCAAGGGCGAGGACGCCAACACCATATCGGAGCTGCCCAGCCCGGTCAAGCCGATGGGGAACAGGCTTGGTATCAATATGGCCCAGGTGAGTGGGGAACAGGTTTGGTATCGATATGAACCAGGTGAGTTGGGAACAGGCTTGGTATCAATATGGCCCAGGTGAGTGGGGAGCAGGTTTGGTATCGATATGAACCAGGTGAGTTGGGAACAGGCTTGGTATCAATATGGCCCAGGTGAGTGGGGAGCAGGTTTGGTATCGATATGGCCCAGTTGAGTTGGGAGCAAGCAGGTTTGGTGTCGAATAGGTGGGAATGAATATAGTTGCACCTATGTTAGATATTAATATTACTAGTGTGCTAAAATAGTCGCAACTACATGCATGGGTAACTAATACTTTGAGAGGGCGCCCGAGTGCAGAATCAACAATTCAACCGATTTTACAGTTCAAAATTTTGTAATGTAGCGGAGGTGGATTTTAGGCGTTGTGTGTTGGAGGTGGGTTTCAAGCGTAGAGTGGCGGAGGTGAGTTTCAAGCGTAGTGTGGAGAAGGTGGGTTTCAGGTGGGATACAGCCGCAAGCCAGTCAAGTCTTGTTTTATCATATATCAGTGAAGGTGGGAACGAATATGATTACATCTCGCTTACATATCAGCAGTGTAATGCAGGTAATCAGGCACCAGTCAACGACAGCTGTCGCGGATATAAATACATCACGATCTGAGATAAGTAGGCGGGAGCCTGCCTCGCATAGAGGGGTCAGTTGTATTTTACTGCATTAGTCGAATGTAAGGGCGAATCAACGCGCAAAGGCTATTGTAATACAGTGTTAGTCACTTATAATATAATGTAGTAGCACGATACAGATGGTCCATAATGTAGGAATATAGTCAAAAATCGGTCATGTTCGTTAGTGAGTAGAACAAACTACCTGTAAAATACAAGGCAAGTTAGCTGTGACAATGCGTCGATAAAACATCACAAACGGTGGTGAAACTTAAAACTATTGAGCACAGCTGTTAATTAATGATACAGTAATAATAACAGGTGAGGTTATACCGTAACACTTTTGCACTGTAAGTGGCCACTAACAACGTAATCCTAGTTTTCCTTCAACATTCAAATTAGCAAATTTAAATCTTAATCCCACTATACCTTTAACACTGAGCTGACCAGAATCTTAATCTCACTTTTCTTTAAACTCTCCAACTGACTACTATTCATTCAACTCTTTCATCAACTGACCACTCTTCCATCAACTGACCACTATTCCATCAACTGACCACTATTCCTATAGCTGACCACTATTCCATCAACTGACCACTATTCCTATAACTGACCACTATTCCTATAACTGACCACTCTTCCATCAACTGACCACTATTCCATCAACTGACAACTCTTCCATCAACTGACCACTATTCCTTCCACCCTCCACCAACTGACCACTCTTCCATCAACTGACCACTCTTCCATCAACTGACCACTCTTCCATCAACTGACCACTCTTCCATCAACCCTCCATCAACTGACCACTCTTCCATCAACTGACCACTCTTCCATCAACTGACCACTCTTCCATCAACTGACCACTATTCCATCAACTGACAACTCTTCCATCAACTGACCACTATTCCTTCCACCCTCCACCAACTGACCACTCTTCCATCAACTGACCACTCTTCCATCAACTGACCACTCTTCCATCAACTGACCACTCTTCCATCAACTGACCACTCTTCCATCAACCCTCCATCAACTGACCACTCTTCCATCAACTGACCACTCTTCCATCAACTGACCACTCTTCCATCAACCCTCCATCAACTGACCACCACTCCATCAACTGACCACTCTTCCATCAACTGACCACTCTTCCATCAACTGACCACCACTCCATCAACTGACCACTCTTCCATCAACAGACCACCACTCCATCAACTGACCACCACTCCATCAACTGACCACCACTCCATCAACTGACCACCCTCCATCAACTGACCACCCTCCATTAACTGACCACCACTCCATCAACTGACCACCACTCCATCAACTGACCACTCTTCCATCAACAGACCACCACTCCATCAACTGACCACCACTCCATCAACTGACCACCCTCCATCAACTGACCACTATTCCTATAACTGACCACCCTCCATTAACTGACCACCACTCCATCAACTGACCACCACTCCATCAACTGACCACTCTTCCATCAACAGACCACCACTCCATCAACTGACCACCACTCCATCAACTGACCACCACTCCATCAACTGACCACCCTCCATCAACTGACCACTATTCCTATAACTGACCACCCTCCATTAACTGACCACCACTCCATCAACTGACCACTATCCCTTCCACCCCCAGGTCCTGGGCCGACGACGCCACACCATCTGCCAGATCAGCGACTCCAGCACCGCCAGCACCCCAGCCGACCCCATCTCCAAGGCCAAGCAGTACAACTACGTCCGGAAATTTTCCGTGGATATTTCCGCCCTCCAGGCGCAGCTCCAGAACCCGAAGATCTTCAAAGACGCGCCATTCCAGTCTGACATCGACCTCACTAAAAGAGCGGCCGCCGATTCCGCCAAGAACTCAGCGCCTAAACCGCTACTTCCGCTGAAACCGTTGCCGCTGAAGTTTGACGAGAAGGACGAGAAAGGAAAAACGTCAGAACCGGATACGGCTTTGAAGGAACCCGGAAGTGCCGGGCTGTCCATCCCGCCTCCTGTCATCATGGTGTCCAATGAGGACACGCAGTCCAACTACGGCGATGCTGAAGCGGCCAACGACCTCCACGGTTCTAAAGAATCATTCCAACAACACCCCAATTCCAACGCCCAAAAGCCCACAACGCTAGCTTTCAAAGAGTCACAGGACGCCGACGAGCCCACTTCGGTGCCGACGCTGGAGAGCGCTCAAAGCGAACCGAGTGAAGAAGAGTCAGAGGGTCAGAAAATGGCGCGGCTGACGCTGTTCCTGTGCTTGACATTCGTCCTGAACATGGCGCCCCTGCTGATCACGCTAGGGCTGCTGAGCCGCATGAACACGCACGCGTACACCAACATCTCCACCTGCACGCTGGCCATCTCCGTCATCCAGACCATCGTGTACCCGCACCTCATCGCCTGCAGTGATGACGTGGTGCACCGGGCCGTGCAGAAGTTGAAGACACGCTGCCGGAGTCTCTGCAGGAGGTCTGCGGGCCCCGAGTCGCACTGCCACGTCGAGGAGAGCTCCAGCACTAGCCAGGTGTAGATAACCGGCTTCCCGGAACTTTGCCGGTTGTTGTTTTTATTTCATGTGCTGACCCGCATTTGGTTTAATCGAAAATTTTAGGTTTTGTGCTAACCTAACATATTTTTCTTAATTAATTCTAGCTGGAGAAATACCGGCTTCGTGCTAACCGGCATTTTCCGGCATCGTGATAACCGGCACTTTGTTTCATCGAAATTGTCTTGGCTCTGTGCTAACCTAACATTCTTCTGGATTAAACCTACCTGCAAATATGACGGTTTCGTGATACCCGGCATTTTACCGGCTTCCTCTTATCCGACATTTATCCGGCTTAGTGTTAACCGGACAATTAAACCGACCACGGCAATGGAGAGATCCCGTCAGTAACCCAAGTTAAGCCTCCCTCCCCAACCCGCGCCTTTAAATCAAGCTCAACCCCAGCGCTGCACGCATGAGAGGAACAACTCACCTGCAATATCTAAACACACCTGCCCGAATAGGTAACTACCTGAACTCAAGGGTACGACGCTTACCTGTCTCTAAACCTGGATAAAGCGACACAACTTTTAAATACGTTTATTTTCTAACTCTCCTGTCATGCATGAAAGAATATCTCCGCACGATGCATTGTGTGCATTGTGTCACATCCAAAACATTAACCTCTTGGTCGCTGTTGTCAGTTTTATATATATATATATATATATATATATATATATATATATATATATATATATATATATATATATATATATATATATATATATATATATATATATATATATATATATATATATATATATATATATACGTTCTATCTTACATAATAAAAACTGGGGTCATTTGTATAGGAGGTTATCCGATGTATTTTTAAAACAATGTACATTTCAACGATGTGAAAACAGCTTGAAATAATACGATAGAGATCTGTATGTGTATGCCGAGTGCAATATCTTGTCTAGACGTCTCACCCAGCGGGCTAGTGAACTCCAACATAAAGCACGGACACCATGGAGACCTACAACCTTACAAGTGGCGACATGTGGAGGATGTTTTTGTATTGACTCGTTTATTCTAAACACGGGAAAAATGTGCCGGTTTTAAGTGTTCCGTTTTTTCTTCTTCTGTGTTGGTTGTGAAACGTATAAAATTGCAAGAGCGAGTGATATTATCTTGTGCAGACTAACTTGATTTGCTAGTTGGTTTTTTGTTTGTCTGGTTGTTTTTTTTCGGTGATGGTATTACAAAATCGGAAGGGGGGTAACAAGATGTACGCTTTATTCTGGTGTTTGGCGTTCAATGGTGTGAGGTTATAGTGAAGTATAAGTGTCAGATTTAGACGAGATTTCCGGATGATTTAGACGTGATTGTATGAGATAGTAGTGAAGTGTGTCAGATTTAGACACGATTTCCGGACGCTCAGTCGTACTTGGTTGTGGTTAAGTAAGTCAGATTTAGACGGAGCGCAGAAAAATGGTTTTCGGTACGAATTTCATTTTTAACAAGTTCACCATAACAAATCAAACAAGCTATTTATTCACTCGGTGTTTTAAAAGTTATGTTGAGTGTTTTGGGTAAACGGCCGTGTGGCTAGTTTATACCTGGATGCGTAGGTTAGGCACACAGCTGTGTGGCTAATTTATACTTGGATGTGTGGTTTACGTACATTGGTGGGTGTCTATTTTGTGTTGGGATTTTTTTTTCTTAACATTCCATAAGGTGAGTTAGCGTCGACAATTGCTTTAAGGTTTGTTTAGATATCTAGTCTCGGGACTTTACTCAAGGGTCTAGTCTAGAGGGTTAAGTCTCAGGGTCTAGTCTCAAGGTCTAGTCTCAGGGTCTAGTCTCAAGGGTCTAGCGTAAGGTGTCTAGTTGCGCTGGTCTAGTTTCAAGGCCGTCTCAGTGATGAATATATGTCTAAGTTTGTCATGGGATTATTTATTTATTTATCTATCGATTTTAAAAAAGTAAACCATTCGGACTAAGTTTGTTTTAGTTCTCACTGTTGAGACGACGTCTGTATATATGTCCATATATCTATATATAAATATAACCATGTTTTAAAAACATGAAAGAAAAAAATTCGTTTTTCTACAGTCGCTTCTGGTTGGTCTCACTGCTTCATATCTATCCAGTATTGGTACCCTGCTCCCCCACCCAAGGTCCCCTGCTCCCCCACCTACGGTCCCCTGCTCCCCCACCCACGGTCCCCTGCTCCCCCACCCACGGTCCCCTGCTCCCCCACCTACGGTCCCCTGCTCCCCCACCCAAGGTCCCCTGCTCCCCCAGCCACGGTCCCCTGCTCCCCCACCCACGGTTCCCTGCTCCCCCACCCACGGTCCCATGCTCCCCCACCCAGGGTTCCCTGCTCCCCCCCCCCCCCACGGCCTCAAGCCCCATGACATCACGTGATACCCGCATCTAAAACCGCGAGTTGTGCAACTAAAAGTTCAAATCGCGAGTGTGATTTGAGCTTGAGCATGGAATCTGAATGTTGAATGTTGGATGTTAAACTATTAAATCATGGATTGGAAGTGTTTTTTCTTCTTTTGATTGTGTCAATCACTCATATTTGTGTTTTGTTACCAAAGCAACTGGTGATGTTTTTAATAAAGGTACGGTACAATTGGCAAGTGGTGTCTGCGGTAAGGTGTCACTCTATGTGGGGTGTCACACTATGTGGGGTGTCACACTATGTGGGGTGTCACACTATAGTATTGTGTGGGGTGTCACACTCTGTATGATGTCACACTATGTGGGGTGTCACACTATATGTAATCACACTATGTAGGGTGTCACACTATGTGGGGTGTCTCACTATGTGGGTTGTCACACTATGTGGGGTGTCACACTATGTGGGGTGTCACAATACGTGGGGTGTCACACTATGTAAAGTGTCGCACTATGTATGGTGTCACACTATGATACTATGTGGGGTGTCACACTATGTGGAGTGTCACACTATGTGGAGTGTCGCACTATGTATGGTGTCACACTATGGTACTATGTGGGGTGTCACAATATGTGGGGTGTCACACTATGTGGGGTGTCACACTATGGTACTATCTTCGTCCATATGAGATGAAAATTTATTAAAATGAAAACAAAACCAGTACCATTTATTTGCAATAAACTCCTATTTGATATAATTTATGAATTGTTTGTAATCAATCAGTACTGATTCTTTTGACCGGCCTCACCTAACCTGACCAAAACATCACACCTGACCAAAACATCACACCTGACCAAAACATCACACTTGACCAAAACATCACACCTGACCAAAACATCACACCTGACAGAAACATCACACCTGACCAAAACATCACACCTGACCAAAACATCACACCTGACCAAAACATCACTATCTCACTAAAACATCACACCTGACCAAAACATCACACCTGACCAAAACATCACTATCTCACTAAAACATCACACCTGACCAAAACATCACACCTGACCAAAACATCACTATCTCACTAAAACATCACACCTCACCAAAACATCACACCTCACCAAAACATCACACCTCACCAAAACATCACACCTGACCAAAACATCACTATCTCACTAAAACATCACACCTCACCAAAACATCACACCTCACCAAAACATCACACCTCACTAAAACATCACACCTGACCAAAACATCACCCAATAAACAAAAACATTACCTAACTCAAACATGCTCCACTCTACAATATCCCACCAACAACATCCTACAACCACCCACCCACCACAAAGCTCTCGCCTGACCAACGAGGCGTGAGATAGAGGCCTCCCACGCACGTGACGTAGTCAGGTGAGCAAGTAAACAAAGAATAAACAGTCATGTTGTGAGTGTGGTGGAGAGGGGGGGGGGGGGCCTCAAGCTGTGATAGGCTGTGATACTGGGGGGACACAATTAGTAGGGTTACCAGTCATGTTGTATGTGTGGAGGGGGGGGGGGGCTCAAGCTGTGATAGGCTGTGATACATGAGGGACAATTGGTGACACAGGCAAGTAGGACAGCTAGTGACTCCGTCAATTAGATTGTGACACATTTCATACGACAGTGGCACAGACCGTAATTTGGTGACAGTGACAGTGGTGACACGAAAAGTACGATGGTGACTACAAGGCTGAAGGTGACACGGACATTACGAAGGTGACACGGACGATATGACGTCAACGTATCCATGCAAGCAGGTGAGGTCAGGGTGATACAGGTAGTGGGATCATGGTGACACAGGTAGTGGGGTCAGAGTGATACAGGTAGTGGGGTCAGAGTGATACAGGTAGTGGGGTCAGAGTGACACAGGTAGTGGGGTCATGATGACACAGGTAGTGGGGTCAGGGTGACACAGGTAGTGGGATCAGGGTGACACAGGTACTGGGGTCAGGGTGACACAGGTAGTGGGGTCAGGGTGACACAGGTAGTGGGATCAGGGTGACACAGGTACTGGGGTCAGGGTGACACAGGTAGTGGGGTCAGGGTGACACAGGTACTGGGGTCAGGGTGACACAGGTAGTGGGGTCAGGGTGACACAAGTAGTGGGGTCAGGGTGACACAGGTAGTGGGGTCAGGGTGACACAGGTAGTGGGATCAGAATAACAGTAGATCAAAAGAGTAGAGTAAGACATATGTCAGGTATTTAGGACAAGACAGACTATAGGACTACGTCACATGAACTATATGACTCGCTAACTATATTATCTGGACAATGTCAAAACGCGAACTTTGGCCGCTTTCATAATGTGACGACTGTTTGTTTACTGAGTACGGCATGTCTCATTAAAGCAAACAGTGAGTTGTGTGTTGAAGATCTATTACATAGGCATTCGCCTATAGTCTAGTGACGCAAAATACAATCACTCGTTGCTTAGTGACGCAAGCTACTATCACTCGTTGCCTAGTGACGCAAGCTACAATCACTCGTTGCCTAGTGACGCAAGCTACAATCACTCGTTGCTTAGTGACGCAAGCTACAATCACTCGTTGCCTGGTGACGCATGCTACAATCACAACCGAACGACCGGCTACAATCACTCACCACCAAGCTACAATCACTCATTACTTAGTGACGCAGGCTATAATCACTCACCAACAGAATGACGGGATACAATCACTAACTACTTAGAAAACAAAGGCTACACTCACTCATCACCCAAATAACAGGCTACAATCACTCACCACATACAACACAACCACACCCATAACAACCTTCAGATATCCTCCAGCCAAAAAAACATGCCCCCCCCCCCCCCCGCTGTGTTCACATGCAGCACCTAAAACAAGCGGCAACCATTAGACGCTAATAAATGTTCACTGCATGCGGAGCCAGAAGGTTGATATATACCATGTATGTGGCCATATGGCCAGGCTGAGATATACCATGTATGTGGCCATATGGCCAGGCTGAGATATACCATGTATGTGGCCATATGGCCAGGCTGAGATATACCATTTATGTGGCCATATGGTCAAGCTGATATATACCATGTATGTGGCCATATGGCCAGGCTGAGATATACCATGTATGTGGCCATATGGCCAGGCTGAGATATACCATGTATGTGGCCATATGGCCAGGCTGAGATATACCATGTATGTGGCCATA